ATTGGCAGAAGATTAATCCGACAACATTTTAATGTTTCCTAGTTTCAGCTGGTAAAGTTTTGAATTCTCCGTTTCCTTGTTCATTCATCTCCCGTGACAGTAAGCTTAATATTTAATATTTGGATTTCAGATTGTTGTTGTACAAAGGAAGAGATTTTAAGGTGTGAACTTTGGAAATTGTGATTTTTCCCACTTTCTGTAATAATAATGATCAGCATATTACAGATGAAGAAGATAGTCGTCAGTTGCAGGCTTAAATACTTGAACTACCTGGACTTTGCATATGTGTTTCATCAATCTTGTATATCTGAAAGTACAGATGAAGGAAGGGGGGGGAGGTTTGTCCTAGTGAGTTGGCTTGCAGTAGCAGAGAGAGATGGAGATAGATGGAGGGAAAGTAAACAACAGATCATGGCTGAAGCGTGTTGCAGACGCTGCGGGCGGCCCACCACCAGCCTCTTGAGAGGTTAACTAACGCAACGGTGACCAGGGTCAGAGGTCAAGTGCCTCTTGATGGCAGCCCCAAAATGCCAGATTGTCATCCACATGCTGTGCCAGCTGAGACACACGCTGAGAGTTTGTACAGTGTTAAATTGTGTTTTCTTTTGCTGAAGTTGGCAGTGATTACTCTGGAATCTTCCATGCAGCGTCCGCCCTGAACCAACCTACCAGCCATGATGACACACACGCCTCCGTGTGTGTGTGTGTGTGTGTGTGTGTGTGGTGTGTGGGTGTTGTGTGTGTGTTGTGGTGTGTGTTGTGGTGTGTGTGTGTGGTGTGTGTGTGTGTGTGTGTGTGTGTGTGTGGTGTGTGTGTGGTGTTGTTTGTTTGTGGTTGTGTTGTGTGTGTGGTGTTGCTTTGTGGTGTGTGTGTGTGTGGTGGTGTGTGTGGTGTGTGTGTGTGGTGTGTGTGTGTGTGTGTGTGTTGTGTGGGGGGGCTGTGGGTGTGCTGCTGTGTGTTGTGTGTGTGTGTTTGTGTGTAGTGTGTGTGTGGTTGTGTGGTGTTGGCGTGTGTGTTGTTGTGTGTTGTGTAGTGTGTGTGTGGATTGCTGGTTGTGTGTGATGGTTGTGTGTGTGTGGAATGGTGGGGGGAGGGGGGTGGTGGTTGGTGTTGTGTGTGATGATGTGTGCTGGTGTGTGTGTGCTGTAGTGTGTGTGTGTGTGTGTGTAGTGTGTGTGTGGTGTGTGTGTCCGACTGCGCCGTGCCACTGAGTGGTACGCACACATTGGCTGCACGCTGCAATGACCCTTGCATTCTCAGAGAGAGAAGAGAGACGGGAAAAGACAAACAGAGAATTGGAAAAAGCACACAGACAAAATGAGACCTGTGTGACACATTTACTCATAGACTAAACACCATGACCACACTTTGTGTGGTGTGGTGGTTTTGCTCGGAATAATCTGCGCTTGTGTGATCTTTGTTTGAAAATAAAGACGATGTTCTTAACTTGGGGGGTATACTACGAAGCAGGATTTTCGCTTAGCCGGCTAACTATCAGGGAAACTCCGGCTTTCCGGTCCTACGACGCTGGTTCTCTTTTTAGCAGGCTAGATCTCCATGGTAACTTATGCTGTGCGGGCTAACCTGGGGGGTATACTACGAATCTAGTTCAACCTATCCTGGATATGTTTTGAGTTATCCGGTTGACTTAATCCAAAACAAAGCCGCTCTCGCTAACTGTCCTACAACGGTGGCTATCACCTCGTTCCGATCAAGCCAGCCGTGTCCTATCTAGTTAGGTGCGCGTTCACATAACATGGGGTGGTATCTGGAGCATGTCTCGACCACATCACCAAACATGGAGAAGCGTACTGACAGCGCAGCGTCATACTTCCTGAATGAAAAGTCAAACTATAATATTAGACACATATGAAGAAGTTAAAACTTAAACATCCATGACTTAAACACTTTATCCAGGATAAAAGCCACATAGCTGCACCTGCAAGGTGAATACAGCCTGGTAAAAGAAAAGTGTTTGACATGCGTAGACATTAACAGCTTTATGCTATCACTGCCCCGTCTAAGACACGAGTGGATCTGACTTTAATTACATTTGACTCGAGTGTTTCGTCAACTTAATGTGTTGCTTAAAATAATACTTCTGCATACAGTATGTGACACTGTGAGTGTTGCACGGCCAGATACGGCTCAGCTGACTCAGATAAGGAAATATATGATACATTATGATGTGATGTGATATGATGTGATATGAATGATAATGGGACACATCGACGTCTGCACTCACAGTGCCGCTGACTGTAGGCTACGTAATGTTACTTTGATCCGGTTACTTGTGTTGTGGCAGATATTTAATTAAGCTTTCTTAACATAATAGTATAATAGTTATAATAGTCAGACTGCTCTGAAGATGGGAGGTGATGTTCTATTCATTTTCATGTTCACACAGTCGGTGATTTTGGCCGGCCGTCTTTTCCTGGCAACGGCAGTTTAAACTGTATTTCCTCCGCACACTGAGCTCTGATTGGTCAGCAGGCGTGGTGCTTTCGCTGAGTTGATCTCTTATCCTGGAACTCTCCTGCTTCGGAGCACAGACTAGGTTCCAGGATAAGTCACCATGGAGATCTAGCCCGCTAAAAAGTTACCAGCTTCGTCAGTACCGGAATCCCAGAAGTTATCTTGCTAAACGAAAATCCTGCTTCGTAGTATACCCCCCTGGTCGGGACCAGGTTAGGTTGCAGGCTAAGAGCTCAACTCAGTGAAAGCACCGCCTGCTGACCAATCAGAGCTCAGTGTAAGGAGTTTAAAGCGATCAAGTCATATTACAGGAGAAAGGAACATACAGAAAGCTTTGACCGTTGCAGGAAAGCGGCCGGCAAAAATCACAGACTGTGTGAACGTTGAACATCTGTCCATGTTTGTGATTGGTCGAATGCTCCAAAATACCACCCTTTCATGGGTTGAACGCGCACCTAATAGATAGGACACTGGCTGGTTTGAGCGATCCACTTGATAACCCGCGTCGTAGTACCGTTTAGCGAGAGCGCGTATATTTGGATTAGCCAAACCGGCTAACTCAAACATATCCAGGTTATGTTGAACCAGCTTCGTAGTACAGGCCTCTGCTCTGAATCTACTTTTTGATATTGAATAAATAGAGACCGTTACTCTTTGATAATTGTATTTTAGGGGTGTATTTTCAGTTAAATATTATTAGCTTTCCAGACATTAAGGAATACTTTAACCTCACCCAATAATCATCTAATATATCAATCACTAACCACTTGATATGTTGTTATGTTAGTTTTTCTCACATGCCTACCAAGTGAATGGAACATCTTCAATTTTACTTCATGAAAGGTGTATACCAACCTAAGGCATTAACCATAATTTGACATTATAAAAGTGTATTAAAGTTTTTTTTGGGGTGATCTGATTGCAGGGAAGTGTTGACACACCAAATATGTTTTGTACTCTCCGCTATGATGAGGTCTGAGACGCTCTTACCAGAAGGTACGTCAGTTCCTCTCAGACATACAATAAATAGTTCTTGTGGAGGGTGAGGTAAAGACGAGCTGCGGATAGATGAAGCACATGAGAGAGAGCGAGTTGTGTCATCATCCACTTCCCTGTCTGCTAGGTGTGACTGAGTCTTTTCCTGTGAACAGGAAGCACCAGCTGCTGTTCCTGGAAGAGAAAACGACGTCACTTTAACCAAACGTGTGTGTGTGTGTGTGTGTGTGTGTGTGTGTGTGTGTGTGTGTGTGTGTGTGTTGTGTGTGTGGTGTGTGTGTGTGTGTGTGTGTGTTGTGGTGTGTGTGTGTGTGTGTGTGTGTGGTGTGTGTGTGTGTGTGTGTGTGTGTGTGTGTGTGTGTGTGTGTGTGTGTGTGTGTGTGTGTGTGTTTGTGTGTGTGTGTGTGTGTGTGGTGTGTTGTGTGTGTGGTGTGTTGTGTGTGTGTGTGTGTGTGTGTTTGTGTGTGTGTGTGTGTGTGGTGTGTGTGTGTTGTGTGTGTGTGTTGTGTGTGTGTGTGTGTGTGTTGTGTGTGTGTGTGTGTGTGTGTGTGTGTGTTAAATATTTTGTTGTTACTTAGCCCAACCACACCACATTGAACAAATTGAGATTTTGGTTGTATATTCGACTCTACATATGTTAACTTCAGTTAAAAGTAATATCAAACAATCTGTTCCTTTTTATAACATTAATTAGAGTTTACATTTATGAGCTTATGATCAATTGTATTCAACTGTCACCACCCCAAATCAAACAAAAATAGATAGTGAGTTCAACTTAATCTGTATAAAAAAACGTATACTTCAAATGTCTCGCCCACAATGGAAACACATTACAGTAAAATTGGAAATAACATCTAAAAATAAACCCTGAATATCAGTGGTTATTGCTCACTAGAACTTGTGTTTGTCGTGTAAGCGGACATGTATGTGACAGAACATAAACAGCTTGCTACTTTGACATCACTGTGTTTATCATACTATACTATCTTCAAAGTGTGAGGGAAAGTATAAGTCAAGCTGACTTTTTCAACTTTGTTTAACTTCAGTAAGGGAGATAAATTATTACCTGGTGTTTTTTGTTTTCCTCCCGTTGTGTTTATGTTTTTGCAGACTGAGGCAATTCCCATTAAAATTACATTACCTAAATGAGAGCGCGCCTGGTTCAAATCTGGGTAATGTAGCACAACTGGGGAATGTTTGTGAACGTATATTGCTATCGCTGTTTGACTTTGTGAGGAGGATGCAGGATCAGTCAGAGGAAATGTGTGTGTGCTTATTTATTCTGTTCACAATTTATTTTCTATCAAAAACAAAGCCACACGATATCTGTGAAACAAGGAGTCTTGCCAACACTTGCCACTGGCTTAATCCCCTTTCTCTTTTAGTTACTCTTTTTGACTCTCTCAATCACTTTCTTTTTGTTCTAGTCCTTAAAGCTTAACCAACAAAAAACAGTTATTTGCAGGCCTTAAAGTAACAATGAGTTGAAACCTATTTATTAAAGTTCTTTCTCGTTCTTTTCTCAACAGGAGTGGCAGCATGTCTTTCTGAAGAAAATTGTGGCATGAAACCAGATCGCGAACATCTTCCATTCATCACCTCCTCCTCCTTCATCTCCCTCCTCCACTCTCCCGTTAGGAACTCTCACCTCAGCTCCACTGCATTGATGAGGTAACGACAAGCTCAACGCAGCGCAGCACCAACACCACCCACCCCCCTTCCTTCTGTCAACCTCTCCACCGCAGCCATGGGGCAGAAGATCTCTGGCGGCATCAAAACGGTAGACGGTCGTGGGGAAAGCGGTGGCTCCCCTTCCTACCGGCCTTCAGCGCACCGCCGGCAGCACCCGGAACTGAGGGGCCCTGATTTCTCCAAACCTACCAGGCTAGATCTCCTTCTGGACATGCCATGTGCCGGACTGGAGACCCAGCACCGCCACGCGTGGAACCCTGACGATCGCTCGCTCAACATCTTCATAAAAGACGATGATAAACTGACATTTCACCGCCACCCGGTTGCTCAGAGCACAGACTGTATCCGGGGGCGGGTAGGCTACACAAGGGGTCTTCACGTGTGGAGGGTCCACTGGCCCTCCCGGCAAGCGTGGCACCCACGCTGTGGTTGGGGTGGCCACCTCAGAAGCTCCTTTACACTCAGTGGGCTACACAGCGCTGGTGGGGTCGGACTGCGAGTCCTGGGGCTGGGATCTGGGACGCAACAGGCTCTACCATGACAGTAAGAACAGGGCACACAGCACGCTGCCCTCCTATCCCTGTTTCCTGGAGCCGGAGGAGTCGTTCACCTTGCCGGACTCTCTGCTAGTAATTCTGGACATGGATGAAGGGACGCTGAGCTTCATGGTGGATGGACAGTAATCTAGGTATCGCATTTCGAGGACTGAAAGGCAAGAAAGCTGTATCCTGTCGTCAGCGCTGTGTGGGGACATTGTGAGATCGCCATGAAGTACATCAACGGCTTAGATCGTGAGTAACATATTCCACACTAACAACACCTTAAGGTTAAGCACTCATACTGATAGTGGTGCTCTGATTGTGACACAATGTCACCCTATTTCCCAAGCTGTGGTAATACTTTCAGTTTGGTGATGCAAGTCTGTAAAGTCTGAGATTCAACATTTGACACACTTTCTTTGGCAGCAACACAGAGTGAGAGTTTGACAGAAAGTCTACATTTCTGCAATCTTAAAGGGAGTGATGACACCGGTTTCTCTACAGAAACCGGTTTTGTTAACTGGTTATACATGTGTTTTCAAAGTATTCATGCATGGTCCGTGTTTTTGTAGAAGTCTTCAATATGACATTGCAAAATGTGAAAAAAATCGGAATCAGAGAGGTTTATTTCCAATAATTGTACATATACAATTACATTTGCTTTGGTTGATAGATGCCATTAGTAATATTTGTTGGTGTGAAGTTTCTCTTATAGTGTTGTATTTTAAAAGACGTTGTTTTGTACCGAGCAATATACGTTTTAGTGATGGACATTTGCTGTCCTCTGTTTTGAGTTAATTGTAATACTCTTTGAAGTACGAGAGCTGACCCTTTCGGGTGCAAACTTAACTTTCATCTTGTCCCTGTTGGAGCCTCTATCAAACTGATTTCTCCAGGTATACTGAGCAGCTCTTTGTACTAGGTACCATGAGGAAGCATTATCCGATATTTTCAAAAAATAGTACCCTCAGGCATCAACAAACAGGTATTATGCCACAAGGGTTTGTTATGTTATTAATAATCCTGATTTAAGCAAACACTACATCTACTCTATAAATGTATCAAATAGGTTATTGTGTCTGTAAAACAGTTGTGTTATCAGTGACAAATAGGAGATGAGTACATAAAGAGAAGTTGGCATGTTGGGTTAAGGCAGTGGTTTTCAAACTGTGGGGCGCGGAAGGTACCTGCAGGGGGGGTCGCGGGAAGATTTTTTTATTGTCTTATTCTTCTCCTTTTAGCTTGTGAAGCACCTTGAGATGACGTTGTTTTTAAAGTGCACCTATATAAATCAAATGTATTGTTATTATTATTCAATTGTAAACAAACACTGCTCGAAAAATATCTCATTGGTGTGGGCATAATGCTGCCTTTGCAACATTACTTGTGGTGAGATAGGCTTTTTCTGCTGTTTGCTGCCATCAAAACGAAATACAGATCAAAGCTGAACATTGAAGAATGAACTGAGAGGCAGACTCAAAACAACAGCCCCGGTTTGAGAAGATCTGCAAAGGGAAAGCAAGCACACACAAGTCATTGATAAGCTAGTTGTGGAATAGGAATGGTAACGTGATGTGATCGTTTGCAAACCTGCCGTAGAAATAGTAGTTAATTCATATATTTTCCTTAAAGACATTTGAATTAAAAATCTACTACTCAGGGAAGAAGGCCAACCAGTTTTAATTAGGCCAAATTAATTCACAGTATCTATTACAAAGCACTTTGTTCATTGTGTAATCCATAATAAAATATAAATATAGTTGGATCTTTGTATCTTCTTATTATCAGCAGAGAAAATGTAATGTTTTTACAAACAATATACAATTAATCCTACCAATATAGATGGGAACCGGGTTGGGGGGGTCCCGAAAATATTTCCAATACCCAAGGGGGGTCCCGACTGAAAAATGTTTGGGAACCACTGGGTTAAAGGTATTTGAATATGGTATATTTTGTTCCTAGGCGATGCTTCTGTTTGCCTCCCCGTGTCTGTTTACATGTGTGTGTTATGAGAGAAGAGACAGGCTTTCCCTCCCAGCACAGTCTAAACAGTGACTCTTTGAACAGCTTGTTAGAAAAGCTATTAGACACACATCGTGGACACCTACACACACCTGCCAAGAAGAGAAAGTGTGTTATGAAAACACGTTTATGATCGGATTCTGCTGTCTCCCCCCTCCCGTGTTTGCAGAGCCCCATTGGTCCTATTTGATATCACAACAGAGTGTGTCTCTTTGTAGTATGTTATATCAGATTTTTCTTAGCAAAGTTATCTCAAATTTCTCTTTGAAATATTTCAAAGAGAAATTTCTCTGCTCTTAAGGGTCATCACCACATCAAAAGCTTGTTTTCGGCACCCCTGAAAAAAAGTCACAGGCCTCATCTCAGCTTAAAATGTTATCTCTTTGGTCTTTAAACTGCAGCTGGCCGACTAAAATATGAATCAGAATAAAACACTAAACAGTTGGTTGAGTTTTAACTCTTGAAAGTCTCAACCTCTGCTTTAAGTCCTGCCTGACTGTATGTGTGATGTCTGGTAATCTCCCACACTCAGGCTTAGTTCAAAGTATACACTTGGGCTGTTGAAAGCCCTTCACCTCAGCCACTTCCCATTTATGGAGCCATCTGCTGAATTTCACGGCAAGTCCCTGTGATGGGCCACCTCAGAGAATATTAAGTGTGTTCAAAGCCCTCACTTCCACAAGTATGTGCTTTACACTGTGAAATGAGGCCTGCAAAAATGTAGCAGCTTAATGCAAGGAAGAGAGTGAAGGCTGAAAGACTCAACCTGATCTTTAGGAATAGGAACGGAGGGAGTAGGCGGAGCAAAGGAGGAAAGCAGGGAGGTCTGTTACTGAAACACACATTGTTATCATGGCACAAAGCACCAAGAAAAGTCAGACTAACCGACTAGAGGGGCAGAAAAGTAGAAAACTCCAAGAAAAATATTTGTTATATTTCTGTCAGGGAGCATTTAATACTTAACTGTAAGATATATTTTGTACTTAATGAGTAAGAGTGCGTGGCAACATTATAGCTCTGGTTTGATTTGACCAGCTCCCTTTTACCCTATAAGGTTTAAATTCGCCAAACATTAAAACATTTGCACAAATTGACTGGATTATGTTGCAGTATTTTGTGGTTTGACAAGGCCTTACAATTATACTTCCCTAAAAACATACTTTATTATATGCAACTATGCATTGTAAAACTCATAAACAAAATAAATGAAATCATATGTGTGAGTGCAGACAGACAAAACAAAGGCTTACTTGAGAGATGAGCCTCAGGTAGGGGAAATCCACTCAGACCACCAAACATGAAACAATGCTTTGGGTTTCTCATTACATTCACACATTCAAAGCTCAGAGGTCTTTTTGGATTATTAGTGTTTCAGTCGCTTCTCTGAAACAGAGACTGTGAACAGATGAATATCTCCAGCTGCAGAGCTGAAGTAAAGCCTCTGGGTGCTCTCTTTGTCTCAGAAAGGGCCAACGGGATGATTACTGTCTGTGCAACGGCTTCTTTCAATATCGGTTTTGAATTTAATCGACTTGTCTGCCCCGAAGATGACTCGGATAGAAAGAATGAAGTCATAATTACCTTCTGCCTTCGAATGTAGGAGTGTGAGAGACAATGCAGTATGTGGTCAGATAGCAAACCTTTTTTTTAAAAAGCTGTGTTTTGCTGATTTCTTCCTTGGAAATCGCTGAGTGTAGCATTTGGGAAATGTGAGTGTTTAAAACTGATTGAGTGTAACATACTATGAATCTGCTCTGCATGTTTACGAGTGTAAGGTCATGACAAATCCTCCGGGTAGTTTTGTAATTACTTTATCTAACAGGCCTCCCCATGAGAAGTGACTATTGGATTGTTTGGGAATTATTGTTGTGAGGGGAAACAACATGACTGCAGGGTATTAAAAAGAGATTTATCGACGTGGAGTCTGCTCGCCACACTGTTTGTTCTTCTCATCACTCTGGTTCAGACCCCGCTGCACCACGAGCGGTTGATCATCACTTTGTTCCACCTCACATCATTGCTCCCATTCCTGCAGTAACACAAGACACACCGGTGAGACCCATAACCATCAGCAGCACAGGTTTATGGCAGTTTTGGGAAGAAGCAAATGGTCTCAGGGAAGTATGTGCACTAATGCAAATATATGCTGAGCGAGGTTCAAACCGCATTATCCTGTTCATGTGATGTCAATTATTCATCCTTCCAGCATCTGACTAGAGAATTTCTTCTCAGCTATTGAGAGGTGAACAGATACCGGTTTGCCAAATAGTGTATATTTTGAAATAGTTGTGCATGGCTGAATGATATGAATGCCATGTGTAACTCATTCATTTAGCTGGTATTAGGCACTTTCATCTGCTGCTCACACACACACACACACACACACACACACACACACACACACACACACACACACACACACACACACACACAGCCCTGTATTCTCTCTCATCGTGTCTCTAAAATTGTGCCAATTAGCGGCTCTCTGATTCACTACAATAAGAGCTGTCTGAGCTTCCTCTCTTCTCTTTGTACTCAGGCACACATCCCACCAAACTCAAACTCTGGCAGTTAAATGTTGCCTTCCTTATCACACACCACCCTGAATAGACCTTAGAGGCTACCGTTGGGTAATGATGACTGTTATCAGGTGAAGACTTTGCAAATCCAATTTGGTGGATTGGTTTTACCTTCAGTAGAAGGATTACATTTCTTTGCTGGTAGTAAAGCTAATCTTAGTATGTTTTTGTCCCCAGTTGCTGATAAGATGCCATTACAGGTTCATTATCCAACAGACGTGATATGGTTCACTCAAATCCGTTACAGCCTTGAGAAAGTTTAGCTGGATGAAGAGACCACTCATTACAGTGTCAGGGACTGTAAGGAGGAAAAGACGAGAGAACATTTTGGAGAGGTTTGTTTGAAAAGAGAGAAAGACGAGTAAAAAAGATAAGGGAGTTGGGGCCAAAATGAGAAGAAAAAGCAACAGAGTTAAAGTAGGAATATAAAAGCCAGGATAGCATCCTAAAAGTAGATAGTACCACATTTAAGTTTTTTCAGGAGAAGGATGGAGCCAGAATACAAAGGCAGTGAGAGGGAGGTGTGAACAATAAGGACAGAAAGTAGAGAGCTAGCAGAGTCGTGCAGTTCTGTCGGATGATGCCAACAAGGAAGTGAAACGAGAAGGAAAATTGTCATATTTTCTAAGAAGTTTAAAACTGCATTGCGAC